ATAGAACAGAACAGTTTCTTTTTTTTCATGAAATAAATCGTTGTTTACACAGGTGAAAACAAATCTCCTCATATCAGTTTTCATTTAACGCGTAATTCGAAACATAAAGATGTACGGCGTAATGTGGAGAAATGGCAAAAGTGTGCTTCAACAGCATATGTTATTCATACGCATGGTAAAGATGTTGCTCTCGTTATAATATTCATTTTTTTGTTTGTATCTTGCTTGTCTCTGGCACGTCTTTAGTTATCCTTGCAAAATTCATAGATTGTTAATTGTAGCTAACAATAAAATAGTAAAAACTCAGTCGATTAAACTTCCTTTCACAAGTAATTTTAACCCATAGTTCTTTAGCGTTAATTTAGGGTAACGATTTGTATCAACCTAAAAATTGTTTTTAGATTATTTATATATTCTTCTAGTAAAGAATTTGTTCTGATGATAATAAGAATAACCCAGTTAGTTGAGGAAACCCTATTCTGCCGTTAAAACGATGGTTAATGTCCCATCGTTTAAACGACGATATAGTGACCAAATTACGCGCTTATCACAAAAAACGATTTTCTACGTCATAAAGTAATATAATGTTTTTGTCGTTTAAACGTCGAATTGTAAATGTCATAAATAGTGATTCGTTGACGCTAAAACCATCATTTTTCTTTATTTGATCTGTCGTAAATGATACTTTACTTGAAAAAGAAGTTTAATATTCCAGAATCATCTTCGTCTTACATGTAACCTAACCATTTATCTAATTTTATTAATTTGACGATGGACAATACACGTTCATTTTTTGTCAATATCTCAATTCATTTCAATGAGCAGGTCTCATTTTGTTGTCGAAAAAGAAGAAGTTAAATTTCTAACAACTCAAAATATTTATTTAAAGAAATGAAAGTTCATGCATTTATAAAACATAAGATATGAATAGAAGTCTCTTCTACAGACTTTTCTTTTTGTATTGATATTTGTTCAAAAGACTTCTACTCATGCCTTATGTTTTAAAGATGCATGAACTTTCACTTCTTTAAATAAATATTTTGACTTTTTAGAAATTTAACTTTTCTGTTTTCTTGAGAATAAAATGAGATCTTTTCATTAGAATATGTTGAGACATTCCAAAAACCTAACTGCACTCTTTCTTCTAACACAGCAATCGTTTTTAAAATTTTTTTTTTCTATACTCTCCGTAGATAATTAAAATTTTGTCGATCGCTCAAGGATGATGAGCTTGTCTTACATCTGATAAATATTCTATCGAAACCTTCTCAAGTTTTCGTTACTAATTCTCAAGTCTAGTTTATTCTAATACCTATGGAGAAATATATAATTACCTACAAAGTTGTGATTTATGATAATCTCGATGAATAATGAAAGAAGAATCTAAATTGGTTTATTAGTATCAGATATGTATGTGATAATGAAACTTAGATTTTTAAGAAGAATCAATGAATTGATACGACAAGCGAAAAATTCTAGGGGAAAAATACCATAGATAAAATGATGTCAATTTTTTGGTATATTTTATCAAAAGAAAATATTGAACAGCAACACTATTGACGTACTTCTAAAATTTATTCATTGTAGTGACTATTTTTTTTCTCATTCTTTAACAGTCGTCGGTCGTAGATAAAAAATAATTTATTGCTACAAAAGTTAATAGAGCAGCTAAGTTTTTCATTTGATTACTGTAATCTTTATGACTTACGCATATTTATTATCTAGTTGTTCGTTTAAGATTTATACTGAAAACGGAATATATACTCAGCATTATATTCTTTTTTAAGGTATAAGAGTTAAAAGAATTAAAGTTTCTTCGCGTAAGAGTTTCAATCGACGACGAACTTAGTATAATCACAAGCTCTAAAATGAAATCATTAATGAAACTAAGCTATTTAACATTTTTTTCAACTTATTTATTAAGATCAATCAGTGTGACGTTTCGTTCTAACTAAGAACATTATCAAACACAAATAAATAGACAGAAGAAGAATACAGTATATATAAGAGTAAAATAATGTCTTCGTTTTTCTATTCTATTGTTTTAAATATTCTAATGCAGACAGATCAATTTTACTTCCCCGTGTATTGAAATGCTTAAAACAATAGAATAAAAACGATGACATTATTTTACTCTTATATATATTCTTCTTCTGTCTATTTATTTGTGTTTGATAATGTTCTTAGTTAGAACAAAACGTCACACTGATTGATCTTAATAAATCAGTTTAAAAAATGTTAAATAGCTTAGTTTCATTAATGATTTTATTATGGAATGTGGTGCTACAAAAAGACAAATAAGTTCTATATTATATATTTTTCCTACGAATATCGTATTTTGTCAACTATCTCGATGGAATGTACAAGAAAGTTTTCCACAAATACTATCCTAAGAAAAAGCAAAAATAAACGCAGAACGTAAGGTGAAACTAAATCCTCTACATCGTTCAATTCTGAAGACTTCTTCTATTAGAGTTATCTGAATCTTTTTGCTCAGGTTTTCTAAGCTCGACCAACGGTCAATGAGAATCCTTATTCACAATTCGTATACAATAAATATGTGAATTTCTTCATAATCTGAATAGTATTTTAGATTAAATTCAGATATCATTCATGTATCTTATTTTTGTATGCATTCACATTGCTCGCAGAAGTGATGTTTGCTTATTCAGCAATCTTCATCGAATCAATGAATGAATGAATGTGCTGGACGAATTTATTTTCTCTTTTGTCCTTCTTTAACTTTATTCTTTTTTCCTTCCTCTTCTCTGACTTTTTTCTTTTACTTCTTGACTTAAATTTTTCTTTTCTTTCCTTTTCTTTCCTATCTCTCTCGAATTTGATTAAGACTAACAATCAATTACTAAGGGATCCTCTCGATTCGTCCCAAATTAGTCAATTAGACGATTCTCCTCTTAAATATTTTTCCCAATTCGTACCTTACATAAACAGATCATTCTTAATTGATTCTCAATTCGTCCCTTCCATGATGACTATTGTATAATGATCGCATCATCAAATATAGTACAATATTTAATTTTTTCTTTCTTTGTTTTTTCTTATGTATACATTACGCATGGAACATTAGATCCAACATCATGTTCCTGAACAGAGTCAGGTTCAATCACGAAGACGTAAAAAGATTTACGATCAAACTCATATAAAACTTGCTATGCTGCATGAAGAACACAAGAACAAACAATTGAGTGATGTTCAATTGGCTATACAATGTGGTCGTGCTGTCAAGACACGACTGTTCTAAAAGTGACAATAGATATTTATTCTTAATATTATTGGTACTATAGCGTAATTTTTTTTTTGATAAAGCTCTACGATACAAAAACATTAGTACTTAATTGCTAACCAACTAGGAACGCATTGAGATGGGACGAATTGAGAATAAATTAAGAATGATCTATTTATGTAAGGGACGAATTGAGAAAAACATTTAAGAGGAGAATCGCATAATTGACTAATCTGGAACGAATCGAGAGTAAACCATTACTAAGCATATGAGATCCGTTCTGTTTATGCCACATGCATTTGTCGAATATATATTAACTGAAAATATTACTCTCTTTTGACTTGACTAGAGTTTCTAATTGGATAATATAGCTCATAATTAATAATGTTGTATTACTTGTCATAAAACGAGTTTCAATTAGCTCATATACTGATGAGTTGATAATTTGTAATGAAAACTCTAATGCAGCAATTTTATGTTTGAGAATATTAGGAACTTATAATTTATCGTACGTTTCGAGCTTTGAAAATAATCAAAAAATTAGGATTTCAATGTGAAAATTGAGACTTTAAATCAATAAAATCAACCTGTATTTTTTTGATATTCTAATATTCACACCAACACATGATTTTGATTCATATGATGTCAATGTTATGCGGATTCTTACTTTAATCAAAGGAACTCTTTTTCACATAATTAAATCTACAGCGAATACTTTTTTGAATTAATTCCGCAGATCAAAAGATGAATGGAAGCTCCAAACGAACTAAATGCCTTTCACACGTACTGTGAAATAATAAAAAACACAAATTCACCAGAATATAAATAATTATAGGAACCAGTCCCAAAAAAAAGATTAATCTACTTTGAGCATTTACAGCTGTTTTTGTTGGAAAAGATGGTCATAAACATTTCTCACTATCTTTTACGAAGAAGAAAATGACTTATATAACCGTTTCAGAGATTATTTAATGTGAATAACGCTTGGAAACGCTGATTAGACGTAAAAACGGCAAGAAAAGTGATGATCACGTTTTTTCTTCCCGTTTATCACCGTTTCCTAATAGAATAGGTGATTATGACAGTTTAAACGGCATTTTCAGCATTTCACTTCTTCCTGGGAATGAATTGTTTTTTATCATCATATCAACATTGTCTCATAGTATCTGTCATTATAGAGAAAAAGAAGGATTACAAATCTAAGTGTTCGAACAATGGCATTTAGAGACAGTCTTACTAAGTAGTTTTCACCAATATCTGAACATATCAACCATTTTGTATATTATAAAATATTAATAATGTTAAGACAATATGAATTGTGAAGATAATTTTAAGATTTTGATACTTATAGTTGACAACATGTATCACAGAAGAACAAAAGAAAATTGTTAAATCAACAGCATCACTCTTAAAGGAAAATGGCAAAGAAATAACTTCAATCTTTTATAAACGTATGTTTGCAGCTCATCCAGAATTATTAGATTTATTCAATCATACCAATCAAAAGATTGGTACACAACCATTAGCCTTAGCTAATACAGTATATTTTGCTGCTGAAAATATTGATCATTTGGATGTATTATTACCTCAAGTAAAACTTATTGCTCATAAACATCGTGCTCTTACTGTTTTACCAGAACATTATCCAATCGTTGGTAAACATTTACTTCAAGCCATAAGTGAATTTTTAGGTGATAAAGCAACACCAGCTATTTTAAATGCATGGGCAGCTGCTTATGATATTATTGCTAAGGTCTTCATCGATTTAGAACAGCAATTATATGATGAACTTGGTCCAAATGAACTAGATAAAGGATTTGTTTCATTTAAAATTTCCAAAAAAGAAGTAATTGCAAGTGGACCAATTGTATCTCTTACATTAGTACGGCAAGATGGTGGAAAAATGCATAATTATCAAACAGGACAATATATAACAGTTCGCATTAAAAAAAATGGTCATTTTCATAATCGACATTATAGTCTTATTCAACCATTTGATGGAAAAACATATCGTATTGCTATTAAAGATGAAAATGATACAGAACCAAAAGGTCTTGTTTCTAATGAAATAATTGATAATTTTAACGAAGGTGATACAATTTTAGCAAGCTTTCCAGCTGGTACTTTTGGTTTAGTTGAAAATGCTGAAAACCATTTATTTATTGCTGGTGGTATTGGTATAACTGTTCTTTCATCTATGATTCATGAATTATATAAGCACGGTAAATCAAAAAATGCAATATTGATTCATTGTGTACCAACGAAAAAACATGCCGCTTTTGCTAATCAAATGCAAACAATTCTTTCTGAAAACCGATATCATTTATTTGATGAAGCTGAACAATTAGACAAAGATCTGATAAAGAAAATTTTAAAATCGAATACACACGTATACATATGTGGTCCAGTACCATTTATGAATGAAATTGAAGATTATTTAGCTGAATGTGGCCATCCACAATCTCATATTCATATAGAAGCATTTCAACCCACTCTTAGCGTGATAAGAGATGCTGTTAAAGATGAATCAAAGACGAAATCATTATAGACATCATACCAATTGGATAATTCTTAAGAGATCATTCATGAGGAAGCCAAGAAATCGAGGTATTGGTCAAAATTTTAATTTTTGATTTTTTATGTGCATTTGAAAAGTCATCATCTAAAACCACCAAATCTAAATTTTTAGCTCATTTGAATATA